TGAGTCCTTCTTCTTCTAGTTTTTATTTATGGCATTCTCGTTAGGTCATGTTTCGTCTTCTCGTTTGAGATTTTTGGCATCCACAGGGGTTTAGGAAATTTGCAAACTGTGATATTTCTGATTGTAGTGGATGTAAACTGGCAAAATTTTCAGCTTTACCTTTTAATCGAAGTATTTCTGTTTTCTCTTCTCCATTTGATTGATTCATTCTGATGTATGGGGATCTTCTCCTGTTGCCACAAAAGGAGGGTCTCGATATTATGTTCTTTTATTGATGATCATACTCGTTATTGTTGGGTTTATTTAATGAAACATCGTTCTGAATTTTTTGAGATATAAACAGCCTTTCGAGCTCTTGTCAAAACTCAACATTCTGCTATTATCAAATGTTTTAGGTGTGATTTGGGTGGGGAATACACTTCTAATAAATTTTGTGAGTTGCGCATTAGATGGAACGTTCACACAAACCTCGTGTACAGATACTCCTGAACAAAATGGTGGGCTGAAAGAAAACATAGGCACATTGTTGAAACTGCTCGTTCTCTCTTATTGCTTCCTGTTCCTAGTGTGTTTTGGGGTGAAGCTGTGTCTTACTGCTGTAGGTTTGATTAATACAATTCCATCTTCTCATATTCAGGTTTTTCTCCTTTCGAAAAGTTGTATGGGTATGCCCCTGATTATTCTTCCTTAAAGTTTTTGGTTGTACTTGTTTTGTTCTTCGTCCTCATGTAGAACGCAGCAAGTTGTCCTCTCGATCTGTTATTTGGTCTTTCTGGTTATGGTGAAGGTAAAAAGGGATCGTTGTTTTGATCCAATAACTAGAAACTTTATGTGTCTCGTCATGTTGTTTCTTGAGCATATACCTTTCTTTTCTATTCCTCCATCCATACTCATACCTTGACTAAATCTGATCTAATTGTATAGATCCTTTTTCTGAGGTCTGATAGTTTGTCATCTCAGGTTCTAGTACTGATCATTCTGCAGGTACTGACACTTTACTCTCCAGCACACCTGAAGCTCCCTCTTCTCCTATGGTCACTCAAGCTTCGCTGAGATTGTGGATCCACCTCTACGTCAATCCATACGCATTCGTAAGTCCACAAAGTTACCAGATTTTGTTATTCTTGTTATTCTTCTCTTTGCTTCTTTTAGCTTCTATTCATTGTCTCTCTGAGCCCTCTTCCTATAAAGAGGCAATTCTTGATCCTCTTTGGCAGCAAGCTATGGATGAGGAACTTTCTGCTTTGCATAAGACAGGTACTTGGGATTTGGTTCCTCTACTCCTGGTAAGACTGGTGTTGGTTGTCGTTGGGTGTATAAGATCAAGACTAATTCTGTGGATCTATGAGCGATACAAAGCTAGGTTGGTTGCAAAGGTACTCTCAACAGTATGGTATGGATTATGAGGAGACATTTGCTCCTGTTGCAAAAATGACTACTATTCGTACTCTATTGCAGTAGCTTCGGTGTCAGTGGCATATCTACAACTTGATGTTAAAAATGCATTCTTGAATGGAGATCTTCAAGAAGAAGTTTATATGGCGCCCCCTCCTGGTGTTTCACATGATTCTGGGTATGTTGCAAGTGAAGAAAGCGTTATATGGTTTTAAACAAGAATCGTGCTTGGTTTGAGAAATTTTCTATTGTGATGATCTCTCCCTTGGATTTGCTTCTAGTAGTCCTGATTGCTCTTTTTGTTAAGTGCACTGATGCAGGTCGTATCATTCTGTCTTTATATGTTGATGACATGATTATTACTGGTGATGATATTGATGGTATTTCAGTTTTGAAGACAAAGTTAGCTAACAGTTTGAAATGAAGGATTTGGGTTCTCTACGATATTTCTTGGGTATTGAGGTAGCCTACTCACCTAGAGGTTATTCTCTCTCAGTCGAAATATGTTGCAGATATTCTTGAACGGGCTAGACTTACTGATAATAAGACTGTCGATACTCCGATTGAGGTTAATGCAAAATATTCTTCTTCTGATGGTTTACCTTTGTCAGATCCTACTTATACCGTACTGTTGTTGGGAGTTTGGTATATCTCACTATTACTCGTCCAGATTTGCATATCATGTTCATGTTGTTAGCCAGTTTGTTGCTTCTCCTACTACAGTTCTTGGGCAGCTGTTCTTCGTATTTTGCGGTATCTTCGGGGTACAGTCTTCAGAGTCTTTTTTCTTCCATCCACCTCTTCCTTGGAGCTGCGTGCATACTCGATGCTGATCAGGCAGTGACCCACAGATCGCAAGTCGTTACTGGTTTCTGTATCTTTTGGGTGATTCTCTTATTTCTTGGAAGAGCAAGAAACAATCCATTGTTTCTCAATCTTCAACCGAAGCAGAATATCGTGCTATGGCATTACTACCAAGAGATTGTTTGGTTGCGTTGGTTACTTACAGATATGGGCGTTTCTTTTCTCATCCCACTCCTATGTATTGTGACAAACAGAGTTCTATTCAGATTGCTCACAACTCGGTTTTTCATGAACGAACTAAGCACATTGAGATCAATTGTCACCTTACTCGTCATCATCTCAAGCATGGCACCATTACCTTGCCCTTTGTTTCTTCTTCTTGCAGATTGCAGATTTCTTTACCAAGTCGCATTCTATTTCCCGTTTTCGTTTTCTAGTTGGCAAACTCTCGATGCTTGTAGCCGCCGCATCGTGAGTTTGAGGGGAGATGTTAAGAAATATGGGTTATTTTGTTTTATTGTTTATTAAGGGTAGATTTGTCTTTTCATTATTTCCTTTAGCTCATATATATCTCTTTGTATTTAGGTTAAATCATACTTTTTGTATTCAATTGAATTGTGCAATATCAATGAAACCCTAGCCTCCTCTTTTTATGATTTTCTTTGGATTGTTTAACAAAAAACAGCTATCTACTAAAACGGCAAAACTGCCTTTACCGGTGTCTTGTACGATAATTTCCTTAACAAATAATAATAAATTTAATAATTAAAAGAAAATAAAAAAAGAAAAAGCTGCTGAATTTGTACAAATGGCATAACCACGATGGTCAAAAGACTAATGAGTAATGAGTACCATCTAATCTAAGATAGGCAGGCCCCACTTTTTAAGAAATTGTTTTTTCAAAACATCTGAAACATATTTTCGATGTTTTGTCTTAAAAGTCGTTTGCTTTGTTTTCAAGATCATCATCTTTAGTCTTTATCTACCATCAGGTATGATATAATAACATTTTGTCTTGTACAAATTATTTAGTAACATTTGGTCCCAATTGTCAATAAGGCCAAATGTCAGGGATGACATTGTCATTTTCCAAACAAAAATGATTATTCTCTTGTTTCCTTTCTTTTATTTTAATTAATATAAATTATATATATATTATTCATACTTGGGCTTGAAATATTATTATTGAGGAATAATTAAAATTATGAATGAAAACTATAAACACAAATATCTTGAATTTGATTTAATTAGCCTACATTATTTGACATTTGCGGTTTATTAAATTAAGCTTTTTTTAATTATTTTATTACAAAATTAATCCATGGATTCACACACAAACAAATGAAATAAGGCAGCATTTGTTGACAAATTAATAAAATTTATGTTCTTGTATTTTTCAAAGCATGGTCAAACTCAAACCAAACAAGTATAAATAAAGACAATTTATCCTAAATTACAAAAAAAAAAAAAAAAAAAAAACCCATTAATTCTAATTTATGTTGTTTCTTGGTCGGCCAGAGATTCCATTTCCTAAACATTTTTGTATTCACAAGATAGTGACTACAAATAAGATTTATATATGAATAAATAACTCTCAATTAAATTTTAATCAAGGATTAATTTTATGATTATGACTAATTATTCTTCATTTCAATTTCTTATTAGTTAATCATTACAACACAATAATTTCAAAATAATTTTTTTTTTTAAAATTACATCTATTAATATTATGATTCTTCTTTGAAAACTACCAGCACATGAAAATATTTAATTATTCACTATTCGTATCTTCAATTAACCTAAAGGTAATGGTATTAATAAATATGTGTGGTCAAATCTACATTACGTACATCTAATCTTTTCATTTTCACATGACTTTGACAAATTTATTGCCAAATTAAATTTCATTCAATTGAACATTATAATCTTTTATTTATTTATTCACTAAATAATTCTCAACATAACTTTTTATAGGATCGATGTATTATCAATTTCTCTTAAATTAACGTTAAAATTGTAATTAAATAAGTAAAATATGTCAGCATTTTGAGTCTGTGACCAAACCTTAAAAGAAATAAAATATATTTTTTGTGACCATTTTCCAAAACCATGGATTCAATTAATGCAAATATATTAAGTTAAACCACTGAAAACCATTCTCGTGATACCAACCAACAAACCGGCGATTTTATTCTTCAATTTCTAATTTTAACATGATTATGTTCATTACAAGGGGTTTTATCATCCTCCCCCCCGAGAGAAGACGTAATTCCAAACTCCCCCAGTATTTTGTAGAAGCATTAAATAACTCGTGAGATTGGGTTTCTATTATAAGACGCTGTTATCCAGACCCGGGGTCAACAGGTGAACAATGAAACTAGTTCATTTACTTTTATACCCTTGTATTCCAGTTAATATAACATTGTGTCAGTTTGGGTTGTTGTGAAAGATATTTTGCCCGTTCACATGTTGACCCTGGAAAACGGCATCTTAAAGGAAACCCAATCTCAGGGGCTTTTTAAAATACTTTTTAAAAAAACTGGGGGATTTAGAATTGCATCTTCTCTCATGGGGCCGGGTAAAATAATCCGTCCTTACAAGACCAAGACCAAAAACCAAAACAGAAACATGAAGGCTTGGACTTGAGTTGAGCTGAGTCTTCTTGGTCAACCAGAGCTAATGGGTGCGTGGTGGTCAACATGGGCGGCTCAGTCTCACCGGCCATCAACAGAGCCATTTTCTCCAACTTAAATTTACAAACATTCATTCACACTAACAACAATTTGGTTTCTGCCTAAAATCATTATTAAATTAATTATTTACTTTATTATAAAAAAAATTTGTTTGAAAACGAAACCATTAAGAAACTATTAACCATTTCTTCAAAGTTTGGTTTGGTCTATGTTTGCGCAGGCGTTCTGCATCACCTTCAACATAACCATGGTTGTTCCATTTATGAAACTTTCTCAACTTTGATATTTTCCCACAACGAGAAATAACAAAAGAACGAAGACGAAGAAAGAAGAAACATTTTGTTCTTATTGGATTATCATGTCAGACGATGAAACTGATCCCTGGCGTTTTGGGTTATTCATATTCTTGATTTTAGTCGCAGGTACATATTCACAATTCTATCTTTTTTCTTTATTATGTTCACGTTTTTCGAGGATGATTTTATTGAACAAGGTGTTTTTTCTTTGTTTTTGCAGTTACAGTTGTTGCAGGAGATTCTCTGGAAACAGACAGAGAGGTTTTATGGAGGCTGAAGCTATTTCTTGAAGGGAACAACCGTGTAAACAAAGGACATTATTCACAATGGAGTCAAAATTCAAGCCCCTGTGAATGGCCTGGAGTTTCGTGCTCTTCCGATAAAGCCAGAGTCACCGGCCTTAATCTTTCTGAAAGTAACATTTCCGGTGCAGTGTTCAACAATTTCTCTGCCTTGACACAGCTCACTTATCTTGATCTCTCGAAGAACACTTTTGAAGGGCATCTCCCCAATGATTTGAGCCGCTGCCATAACCTCAAGTACCTCAATCTCTCGCATAACATTCTTGAGGGGGAGCTGAACTTGAATGGGTTGAGTAATTTAGAGGTTCTGGACTTGACTTTGAACAGGATTGCCGGGGAACTTCAGTTTAGTTTCCCTTCAATTTGTAACAAGTTAGTGGTGGCTAATCTTTCAGATAATAATCTTACAGGAAGTATATATAATTGCTTTGATGGATGTGGAAATTTGCGGCATCTGGACCTAAGTGCTAATTATTTTAGAGGGAACATATGGAGTGGATTGGCACAGCTGGTGGAGTTTTCAGTTTCTCAGAACTACCTTAGTGGGTCTGTTTTGGGTTCCATTTTTACAGAGAATTGCAGTCTTGAAATTTTGGACTTTTCTGAAAATGCTTTCACTGGTCATTTTCCTGGAAATGTTTCCAATTGCAAGAATTTGGTTATCTTGAATTTATGGGGAAACAAGTTTTCCGGGCCTATTCCAGCTATGATTGGTTCAATTTCGGGTCTCGAGGCCTTGTTCTTGGGGAACAACAGTTTTGATAGTGTGATTCCGGAGTCCCTTTTGAACTTGAGTAAGTTGGACTTTCTGGATTTGAGCAGAAACAAATTTGCAGGCGACATACAACCGATTTTTGGACGATTCACGCAGTTGAAATATCTTGTATTGCATGGAAATTTCTACACTGGCGGGATATATTCTTCAGGTATTCTTAAGCTGCCTAGCGTTTCTAGATTAGACCTGAGCTTCAACAACTTCACCGGTCCCTTACCGGTTGAAATCTCTCAAATACAGAGCTTGAAGTTCTTGATTCTATCCCATAATAATTTCAGTGGTAATATTCCACCAGAATATGGAAACTTGCCTGCTATTCAAGCTCTTGATCTCTCCTTCAACCAATTAACTGGATCAATACCACCCTCCATTGGGAACTTGACATCTCTCTTGTGGCTAATGCTTGCAAACAATTCACTTTCGGGTGAGATTCCTCACGAGATTGGGAATTGCTCTAGCTTGTTGTGGTTGAATCTTGCAAACAACCAGTTGTCTGGGCACATCCCAACTGAATTGACTAATATTGGGAGAGATCCCTCTTCAACATTTGAATTAAACCGACAACAAAATGAGCGGATAATTGCTGGCTCTGGCGAGTGCTTGACAATGAAGAGGTGGATTCCTGCTGACTACCCACCATTCAGTTTTGTGTACACAATCCTCACAAGAAAGAATTGCAGAAACATATGGGATAGATTACTCAAAGGCAATGGCATTTTCTCAGTTTGTGTCGGGGTTTCAAACGTACGCACTTTTCAAATCACAGGCTATCTTCAACTTAGTGGGAATCAACTTTCAGGTGAGGTGCCTACTGATATTGGTAAGATGCAGAATTTCAGCATGTTGCATTTGGGTTTAAATCAGTTCTACGGGAAGCTGCCTCCACAGATTGATAAGTTGCCACTAGTAGTTCTAAACTTAACTCAAAACAATTTTTCGGGTACAATTCCTTCAGAGATTGGGAACATTAAATGCTTACAGAATCTTGATTTATCTTTTAACAATTTCTCTGGCACATTTCCTGCTAGCTTTAATGAATTGTTTGATCTGAGCAAGTTCAACATCTCCTACAATCCACTTATTTCTGGCGCAATTCCATCAACTGGCCAGTTAGCAACGTTTGAGAGATCGTCCTACCTAGGAGATCCACTCTTGCGCCTTCCAGCTTTTATTGCAAATTCCCCTGCTCAGCCTCCAAAGCATGCCGAATCCAATGGAGGGACAAGGAAGACTAAATTGGCGGTTATTCTGGCTTTTCTATCTCTAATACTAGTGGCATTGATATGTGGAATTTTGTCACTTGTGATCTGCATATCAGTGAAAAGTCCAGAGGAGAAACCGGGATATCTCTTGGAGAATATAAAATATCGACATGATCTTGCATCAAGCTCAGGAGGGTCATCGCCATGGCTGTCAGATACTATTAAGGTCATTCGCTTAGACAAAACAGCATTTACACATGCTGACATTTTAAATGCTACAGGCAGATTTTCAGAAAACAGAATAATTGGAAAGGGTGGATTTGGTACAGTGTATCGAGGAGAATTGCCTGATGGGAGAGCAGTGGCAGTAAAGAAGCTACAAAGAGAAGGAATTGAGGGTGAAAAGGAATTCCGGGCTGAAATGGAGGTTCTCAGTGGGAATGGCTTTGGTTGGCCTCACCCAAATCTTGTTACACTCTATGGATGGTGCCTTGATGGATCAGATAAAATATTGGTGTATGAATACATGGAAGGTGGAAGCTTAGAGGATCTTATATCAGATAGAACAAGATTAACTTGGCGAAGACGTCTAGACATAGCGATTGACGTGGCACGTGCATTGGTATTCCTACACCACGAGTGCTATCCTTCTATTGTGCATCGCGATGTCAAAGCAAGCAATGTCCTACTAGACAAAGATGGTAAGGCACGGGTTACAGATTTTGGCCTTGCTAGAGTTGTTGATGCTGGGGATAGCCATGTGAGCACAGTGGTGGCTGGAACAATTGGTTATGTAGCCCCAGAGTATGGACAGACTTGGAAAGCCACAACAAAAGGCGACGTGTACAGTTATGGAGTTTTGGCAATGGAGCTAGCGACTGGGAGGAGGGCTGTCGATGGAGGGGAAGAGTGCCTAGTGGAATGGGCTAGACGCGTTATGGGAAATGGGCGATATGGATTGGGTAGAACTGTTTTACCAGTTGTGCTTCTGGGGTCTGGGCTAGCGGAGGGCGCAGAGGAGATGTCGGAGTTGCTTAAAATTGGGGTAAATTGCACCTCAGAGGCACCACAGGCTAGACCAAACATGAAGGAGGTGCTAGCAATGTTGATTAAACTCCTGCCTCTATATGGCTGAGGTTTTGGAACCAGTATCAATCTCAGAATTTGTCAATAATTCTAGGGCCTTTATATAGCTGTACACATATGCATTTGTAATAGGCATAAATTTTGTTGTTCTTATTCTTCTTGTACACAAGCATTCATCATTTATAAATACTGATTGTTAATCAAATTACAGCGCAACGCCTTGAAGCAACTCCTATTTTGTAGGCATAAATTTTGTTCACTGAATGTGCTACAGAATTCCTTTTGATCCATATGAAAACTTCAAACTAAATGGAAAGATGGGAATGTGCAATGTTTGATTGATTGACTTATAAATGTGCATGTTTTTGTTACAACAACTAGAATTTTGACAACTGGTTAGGTTCTGTTCTCTGCTTTCTGGTCAGTAGGCAATGCATTGGTCAGCAATGGAGCTTTCTATAAAACATAGCCATCTAATGCACCATTTCACCTAAAACCTTGATGGCCACATTGGGACTCTTAGATTCTCCATTGCAAGTCAAAGCTGTGCTGGTGGGAAAGACTTCAAAGACCTTTGATGAAATTCACAGTAGCGTCCAGTACCCTTACCGGCGACATCTAGCCAATAAGGTAACATATCCCTAAATTAAATAGAAACAAACACGTACCGTTTTCCGTGTCACCGGCTTCAACTTTTGGGAATTTTATGACCAACATACCCCTATACTGTTTTCGTACACACTGACACTCAGACACTCACACACTCGTCATGAACCAAGGACTACTTTTTACTTTTTTCTGCTCCCAAAATATAATCGGATGATAAATGCTTATTCTCGTAAAGGTAAGTGTTCCTTTCACTTTCTTTTCCATCTTCNCTGGCGACATCTAGCCAATAAGGTAACAAATCCCTAAATTAAACAGAAACAAACACGTACCGTTTTCCGTGTCACCGGCTTCAACTTTTGGGAATTTTATGACCAACATACCCCTATACTGTTTTCGTACACACTGACACTCAGACACTCACACACTCGTCATGAACCAAGGACTACTTTTTACTTTTTTCTGCTCCCAAAATATAATCGGATGATAAATGCTTATTCTCGTAAAGGTAAGTGTTCCTTTCACTTTCTTTTCCATCTTCATTTTCCGGGGATAAAAATGCTCCTTTATATGTTTTATTTGCCATTCATCACTGTCCAGACCAATTTTTGAGATAGTGGTTTAGTTTTCTAATTAATGTTAGTTCCCTAAACTTGTGCATGCCCTAAATATCTTCTCATGTAAATTTCGTTTGTTTGTGTGGAATTTTTTTTTTTTCTTTTCTGGGATTTCTCCATTTCATAAACAAACTCTCTTTTTTCTCTTATTCTCTCTCAATATCTTCTTTGAGAGAATGTTCCACGATCCAAAAATATTTGAGAGTTCTGTTTTTTAAAAGAGCAATAGGAATAGTAAAGAAAAGCCAATATTTTTATTGGGTATGCCAAAATCTAACCTATCCTTGACCTTGTTGCAGCTGTTGTCTCTTAATGGTAAGAACAAAAGGGGCAGCACATTGAAGAAAAGGTCAGTCTCCGGGTAAGAAAAATAATCCCTTGCTATTGTCTGTCTTTCAAATTTTCTAGGATGTCTTATGGGTTTATTTAGTTTTAAGTTAAAGGTTCAACTATTGTAAGACTTAAGTTAATTTTCATTATGAGTCAAAGTCTGTCATTAATTTTGTTAATACCTTTGCTTTGAGGGTCAATTCAACACTGGTATGTAAGTCCTTGGTGCTGTAACTCTGAGGACAAGTGATTATTGATTTTGATTATGAATTTCAGTTCTGGAAGGACTGGTTTTTTTTTTTCAACTTTTAATTCTATCTCTTAGGTGGATTCTTTTGATTGCTGAGTTTACCCTGTTTTCTTTGGTGGATTCTACTGAGTGGTGAGTTTCTATGCCCTGTAAATTTTGTTATTACCTTTGCTTGGAGGTTGACAGCACTATCCAGTACCCTTACTGGGGGCTTCCTACCCAGTAAGGTAACAAATCCCAAAATTAGATACAAACAGAAGCAAGCGCCCCATGTACCCTTTTTTGTTGAAGGAAGTGGGGTCTCCTGCTACAATTTTCGCGATTCTTATGACTGAAATACCCCCATACTGCTTTGTACACACTGACACTCACACACTCTTCATGAACCAAAGATTCCATTTTCTGCTCCCAGAATACACAATCTGATGATAATGCAACTCCGAATGCTTATTCTCGTTAGGGTAAATGTTATTTTCTTTCACTTCTTTTTCCATCTTCATTTTCTGGGAAAAAAAGCTCCTTCTTTACATGTTTTATTTGTCATTCATCACTTTCCGGATCAATTTTTAAGGTAGTGTTTTAGCTTTCTTATTAATGTTAGTTCCCTACACTTGAGCATGCACTAAAACAAAGCTTTTTTACTTTGTATAAATAAAAATATTTTCTAGGTTGGCTGTTGTTTTAGTCTCATTTTGTGATTAGCTTTCTATTTTATTGCTCATCAAGTAATTTTTTTTTTCCGCTTTAGTTCTGTCAATTGTTCAATTTTGGTTTGATATTTTAAGTTGTTGATATGGCTATTTCATAACTTTTGACTTAGTTTATGTTCCTTTTGGTTTCATTCTATTCTGATTTTGATTGAGCATCTTGTGCTTTCTTGAAGCGCAAGTTAAACATGTTGGTGCGGGAATGTACAGTTAAAACTTTCATTTTGGGTTTTGCTTTAGCCTTTAGGGCTTCGATTTGGGGGTTTTCAAATGCTAATGTACAACAAGCGAACAAGTAATACCGTGACAACACTTTATATATATATTTCATTACTAAAACTAAAATCATTCCCACTTTTTTTTCCCTCTGTGGGAGTACAAGACACATACAATACTTCATTTCTTCTGAAAAATAGCGTTTCTTAATTTCTTTTTGGTATGAATTGATTTTCTGTTAAAAGAAGTTTTTGCTTTAAATCTTGGAGCAACATTAGCCCTTTATGCAATTGTCTATTCTAAGCTTGAAGCTCTTCTTAGTTTAGAGCCATATTTTGTGCTCTCATAAGAAGTGCTAGGTAATGTCTCTTTTTTTTTTTCTTTTCGTTTTTGGGTTGCTTGAGAGGAGGAGACCGAGGGGCTGAACCTATTTTCAAAATTGAATATTTAGTTTCTAACAGCCTTCTATTTCTTTGACTTGTGAAGGTTTTTGCTTCATACAATGGAGCTAATTTTTTGTATATGATCTTTCACAAAGACATGGTCCTTAATTAGTTCTTATATGAAGAATCTAATCAATAAGTACTTACATGTAAAATATTGCAGAGAAATAACTGTACTGGAAATGGGTGATGAGAGTCGCAAATATGTTATGGATTTGGAGCTGGCAATCCAAAGAGAACTAGCATATCGGAGAAAGATTTTCTTGTCACAGTTGCAAACTGACAAGGACTTCAAGACAGATCCTGTGCCATTGGAGAGGATTGCTCATGTGATTTTTCTAATGTGCATTATTTAGATGACTACGAAGATGGTGAACTGCAAATTAAATTCATATTTTTCAATGACTGTCAACATTATGTTTTTGTTAGTTGGAATAGAGTATATTGAGAAGAAATGCATGTGGCTAGTTAAACCGTTCTCAATTGGGTTCATTTTCTGATTAAATGTGTAAGCACTACACATGGGCAATACAGAAGCCTATCTGTCTAGTTTTTCCAGAAATAACATTGAGCAAAATAGGTCTGTTTTGACTTTGACTTCCACTCATAGTTCATGTGAACATTATGGTGGCTTTTTCCCCTCTCATATGGTTATTGTGGTTGTAACATCTTGTGATAACTGAATAGCTTCGTTTATGCTTTTCTTGATATACAAGCACATAAGGGTCATGAGAAAAATTGGTAATCTTTGTTCAATTAGAGTTTTCCTAAATATTAAAGAGGTTAGATGATAGTCGGAACCAAATAATTAACAAATTATAATTATAGGTAAAACGTATTTGCATTGTGTTTTAAAAATTGTAAGATATATGTATTGGTTGGTACTCTCTCTTTTTCTTGCTCTGTACTGTATATAACTCTTTTTTATGCATTAACAAACCGTACTGGTATAGTTTTTCATTTTAGCTCTATTTTCAAACTTCTGCACCATAATGTTTCAGGTGCCATCATCAAGCTCAACTGTAAGTCCAAGCAGAACTCCTACTTCCAAGTCACTTTCAAGTTCAAGCCCTTGGCTTTCTGGCATGAAGCGAGACGCAGCACCAAGCGGCAGTGAAAGCTTGCAGCCTCAACAGCCACAATCATCAAATAGCAAGCCCATGCATACAAATCAATCAGATGTTATTTTTTGCACAATCTGCAATGTACCTTGCCATGGTACCCGCAACTATAAGCAACATCTAGATGGTCAAAAACACAAGGCCAAGCTACAGAACATGAAATTACATAGGAATGATGTTGGTCAATGCAGCAAAGAAGCTAACCAGCAGAGGTGGGGCAAGGTGTGTAATACCGGTTGCACAAGTGCAGAATTGTTCAAACAACACTTATGTGGTAAAAAGCACAAGGTTGAACTAGGAAAGTTAGAATGTGCTAGGAAAGATAGTGGAGATCTCCCGAAGCAGCCAAAATACTGCAAGTTGTGTGATCTTTGGTGCCCAAATGAGGATGCATATAAGATGCACCTTGAAGGTAAACGGCATATAATTTGACGCCATGACATTGAGAATACGGGGCTACAAAGGGTGGAACTGTAAGAAAAGTGATGTTGAACATCATAGGGACCTAACCACTTATATTAGGCGTAGGAATTGGTCTACTTAGTACTTTTGCATATTTTCCTCTTTTACTGTTTGTATATCTATATGTTGGATATTTTTGGATGGTTGTTTGATATTTTCTTCTGTGATGGAGTAGGGATTAGGCTTGGCCTATATATATGCCCTTATGATAATTCCAAGACTTAGCTTTTCATTAAAATACATTCAACATCAAAGTTATTTTCTTCATTTCTTCTCCTTCCCTTTCTCATCCCCTTCTTTAATCTCTTTTACTACGAAAGAAATGAAATGGAAAGTGCTCTCCTATAGTGTGAATTAGTACCTTAATTAACAATTATCTAACTGCAAATTAATCTTTTGGTTATTAACTTATTGTATTCCCTCTTAGTTTCAGAAGGAGAATTATAATGCATGACACATCTGAAACAACATTTGAGAGCTACTTTGATCTAGAAATGGAAGCAGTATTTGTTAAGGAATGAATGCTGAGTATAAATCCAATAATTTTATATACAAGTATTGTCATTAATCAAGGACTGGTTAAGAGATGCCAGACTATGGAAAACTCAGAATTGGAAAATCCATTCTTCAAAGAAGGCTGCAGGGATGATGTGATTCCGTATAAAAAATTTGAGCATCAGAGAAGTTTGATGTATGAAACAGTAATTTGTGCAGCATCTATATAGTTTTAATTTCCCACAAAAAGCAAATCACGTAAGCAAACTTGGACTAGCATTTTAATCTAAAGCAAACTTTGTACAAAATGTGTGTAATATTTTTGAACCAACAAGCAGAAAATAAAAAAGAAAAAAAATGTGAAATATCTGGACCCCCTTTTGTCACCCAATTAGTTGCAACAATAAGAGCAAAAACTGCGGCATGTCCTAATCAAAATTCATAAGTCAAAGGCACAAACTAATGGCTTTTTCTGTGTGATTCATACGAACCCACAAACTAAAACAAAACACTTATAAAATAACAAAAACGATAAATATTACCTAGAAACATCACTATTTACTGTTGTCCACTCATGCTCCCCAAATTAATTATTAATTCATATATTTGTTGGGTTGTGCCAAGTTAGATGACCCATTAGTGCCAATTTGTCTTTTGATGAATTTCAATATGTCCACTTTTTTCTTGATTCCTTATCCTTTCTTAGGAAACTGAAGTTATTCAACCTCTCATCTTGTGGTCGGATGGTAAACCCTTTAGCCACGGGGTTAGTTATATCTAGGGAGTCTTGTGTTTGAGTCACTAGGAGAGGTACCTACCACATTTATGTAATTATCTTGGTCTATTGAGCTTGTAGGGTGTTTTTTGGCCTCCAGTGAGGTGTGGATGCAGTGAAGTTATTAGTAGATTTCCCTATTGCACTCAACTTTAAAGTTTTGGTGGTGGTGGTGATAGACTCACTCTTTTCGGCCTACTTGTGCAAAATATGCTACATTATATTCATTGTGGAAAATCAAAAGCATAAGACTCAACTACACAAGATGCAACTTTTTAGGGGTTGTGTTGGAGACATATCATTGCAATGAAAATGGTGAGAATTGTGTGACATTTGGTGCACCTTCAAGCAGCAGCTCCTTGGCATGGCAAAAGGCCTGGGAGGTGTAAACGATAAAATTTACAATTAAACTTGAGAAGAAATAATCTTGTGATGCGAGCCACTGACAATCTTGATGGACCTGCGAAAGGTGTCTTTGCGGTCGATGGGGGCTTTAGTAACGTAGGGATGTTGTTGGAGTATGCGAAGAGCTAGGGAGTAAGAATACTGGAACTTAGGGGTGAGCTAGGGAGTATGTGATTTAGTTTAAATCCTCCAGATGAGATCATTTGACGCCGCTTCGGCCATGGAGAGAACATGGGTTGTGAGAATGAGGAGCCACGGGATAACGATTTTGATCGGCGATTGTTCCCTTATGCGTGAAGGTATGGGTCTTGGCCATCTATTAAGGCGCCTTGTTGGATACATCTGAGTCGTGCTGTTTTAGTATGATGGAAGGATCCTAGCATGGTGCAGTGAAGATAACCATGTGTCCTGCTTCGTGTGGATCACGTGCTAGATGGGAGAGGCAGGAAACAAAAAGTTTTCACCTTTCGACTGCTAATAGGATTCGACCACGTGTCCCTTGGCTGATTGGCGTCCTTTAAAGGCGACATCTCTTCATTTTTCAAACCCATTAAAACATTTGGGTTTGTTTCAAGAGAGAGAGAACACCGGCGGCATTTTGCTCTTGAAATTTCCCGTTTTCGACCATTTGTCATGGTAAATCCTTGTTTTTTTTGTTTCTTTTCTCAGTTTTTTGTTATTTTTGCGTTGAGAGTGTGAGAAGGGAAGTGTTTGGAGGTTTGTTTGGGAGGATTCTGGTTTGTTTTAAGTTTGGGTTTTGAGTTTTTGGAAAGACAGTGGTTTTGTGGAGCTCTTCGGCGAGTTTCAAAAAGAGAAGTGATTTCTGGTTTTGCTGGGAAGAAAGGAGGGAAGGTGAAAGGTTTTTAAGAGATCATTTGAATTGGATTGGGTCGAGTCGAACGAGGTGTGATCGGGACTTACTCGATAAGTGCCAAGAGAAAAGTCTATCTTGATGATTGCGAAGATTGGAGCCAAGCAGCAATGTCTGGAGGGAATGAGTACGAAGATGCACCCACCATGGTGGTGCTCCCGATAGGTGACGAGACGGCTTCATCCAAGGGGGTGAATGTTAGTGTATGACTTAGGAACCAATTGTGTTGTCCGTTTCAAGACATTATATCTTGTAAATATATTATGAATAAAAGAAAATATTCTTATTTCACATGTTGATTTACTATTCGTTTATATTATATCTAATATTGTATATGAAATATCCAGATGACACAAATCTTTAGAAGATCAAATCATCGAAGAATTCCCTACGCAAGTAATGTTAATTGGGCAATAACATTGCATAGTAGGCATGCTGAATGTCTCCATTGAATATGATATGATGGTATTAGTATGGGTGATTATAAGAGGTATGTCAATAAGGCATTAGCATGGATAAAAGGTTAGAGAATCGTTTATCAAATATGATCGATTACAATGAATCACATTGACATTTAGAATGTGGTTAATGATGCATCATAGGATTGTGCTAGTGTACCACTGATCCTTAGACTTGAGACATCACAATTGGATTCAACATAGGATGCAAATGGTTCATATGGTGTATAAGCATGAGACTAGTCATGTCTTATGTAATAAGCCGGTTTGGTCATATGTTATTCATGTGCGAGGACTCGAGACGACACTGTAAGTATGATCAGAAAAGGTTCATTGGAGTTTACACTTCATTGTGGTTTAGAGGTTATGGAACATTGCTAGACGTCTACCATAATTAGTGAGAGTTTTGATTACAAAGAGTTATAATGAAAAATATCAGAATTTGATATTGGGCCCACGGCTAGATCATAGTAAACCAAAATGGTCACACATAAAACCAAGCTCAAGGAGAGGGAGTAATACATATCATTAATTGGATTAATGATGTTTGGATGTCAACAGTTGCATTCGAATTAATGTATTGGTGAGAGATAATTATCCATAGATAGTTAACACTAACCAAGGGTAATAAGGATTTATTAAATATTATTATAGAATCAGATTCAATAATGGGGACAAAAGTGCATTGGTTTTATTCTAAAGAGTTAGAATATTTAATGAGATTAAAATTTGGGCTAATTATGAATTAACCATAAAACCAAGGACTTGACATAAATGCTCTTTTCTAAGATTAATTTTAAATTGTTTGAGGACTTCCCCAGACAATTTAATATTACACTATGTACCCGTGGTACATAAACCAAGTGTTATACCATTTTCATTTTTTGAAAACAATTGAAACAAAATCAGTCTCTCATTTTCTCTCTCACTCTCTCTGCTCTCTTCCTTGGCTTGTGTGGATCACATTTTGAGGTTCTTCGGTTCACTTAAAGAACTAAGACTCCAAGAAAGAAGATTCAAGTGTTGAATAGCAAATGAATAGGTAATATTCCATCCTTACCTTGACATTTTTTGGGCTTATGTGTTATGCTTGTATTCTACCTTGCACCATTATCTTGTTCATCATTTTTACACCATTTTCATATCCAAATTGCATGAATCCCAACAGTGAACCTTGCCTTTCATGTGGGAAATATGCCAAGTGGCCGTGCTGCAGAGCTGAATGATGATGATTCTAGCAGCAAAGGCTCTGGCAACAAATCTGATCGAAAAATGTTGTCGATGCGGATCAGACAAGTGGGGCTGAAACACTCTTGACCAACGGCCACAATAGGGACAACTAGAGCCGTCCCGAAGTTGGGATGCTTGCTGACAACTCGCCATCCTAGATCAAGCCGGTGGAGCTTACGAAGCTCAGTATCTGTACAAGATACTTGCTTCCACTGAGATAAGGGTGCCGACTAGGCATGAGAGGGTGGATTGGTCTGTGCCGTGTTGGATCAGTATTTATGAGCAAACCCTGGTAGAGGGAATGCATTTTCCCATTCCTTGGTTGGTGCGTGAAGTATTGAGACACTACAACATTGCCCTAAGCCAGTTGATGCCAAACGTGTGGCGGCTACTCATGTCTATCGAGTGTTTATGTTCACGACTCCGCATAGAATTTAGAGCTATAGATCTGCACTGTTTGTATTATTTGAAGGAGCATGACAAGGAGAGAGGTAGATACCTTTTTATGTTGTGGCACGACCGGAGGCACTTGGTGACTTTGTTGAAAACGTATGACAAGAAATGGAAGGACGACTACTTCTTTGTGAAAGGTGACTTGGTTTTTGGGGAAGGTGGAGTCGAGGGTATTCCTTTCTTCTGGCAAATGATAGGTGAGGAGATTTTATTTTAGCTAACTATTGGTGTACTGAATCTCATTATTTCTTCTTTTGTAGACTTGAACTACAATAAAGTGTTGCCAAGACTCCGTGCCGAGGAGAAGAGTCGAGTCATCCTAGCTTTATCGGAATAGGAAAGAAATTACCACCAAGTGTTAGATGAGGCAAATCTATGAAGGAGGCCTTTATGGAGGCATGTCTTCGAGGTGCAACAAGGTACCTTGCTTCCTCTCGAAAACCTATTGTTGTACGTCTTGTTGGTTCGGTATAACAACCTTGTCGTCTTTAATAGATCCATTCGTCATCAACTAACCACAGAGGAAT